CACTTTTTCGCCCGCTTATTATTTGGCCCAATAAACGTGGCCTAATAAACGTTTTTTCTTCTTTCTTTCTTTTTGCTTCGCTTGGGCGAAATAAATCAATGCATTGCTTGACTGCTTGTAAATATACAGACATCAGGCACTGTACTAGCCCCCTGTATGAGCACTTTTGTGTGCTCGACTGCAATTTCAGCCGAGCTCTGTCCAATATTTGTCCCCTTTCCCCCCACCCCCCGCAGCAAACTGTCATTAAGTACTTTTGCAACAAGAAGCGCCAACAAAGCCGAAATGTGATTTATGTGTTGCTTGCCTCCGAGAGGCGCTCAATTTGCCCCATCATTATGTAGGGCAGGCCAATTTGTCAAACTTGCCCAGAGTCGAAATTCAAAAAGAGACGACTCGAGAGCTAAATGAACTGAAATAGTTGCTGCAGATAGTTAGCAGTCACTGTAATTAGATGCACTTGGTATTTCTTTTTCATTGCATTTTATTTCTTTTGTATTGTCCAAGTTAAGATCTTGGCCACTCACTCAATAAGATTGACTGTAGTCTAGCTTAAGGCAGCGACACGCATATACAATTTATAGGCGAAAAATATTCATTGAGCGCCATCATATTGATGGCCTTCAGTAAGCCCAATGCATACTAAGAGAGGCAAAAGCCATGCTCACAATTGGATAAGCTCTCAGAATAGGGCCAGCCGAGGCTGTCGTAAAATTCACTGGTAATACAACATATATTTGCGTTGAGCCACGGAATTTGTAATCAAAATACGCTGCAAAAGCCGCAATATATAAAATATTCAAATATATATCAAACATAATAGCACGACTCTGAGTTATGCTGTATTCATATACATACACATATACATACATATATTCGGAGCTTCACCCCCAGATATGACGGAAATGGATTCCAGGAAATTTAAATGTCATAGAACGCGCTTTACATTTCAAGCCTTGAGGCCAATATTCAATTTTCAAATAATTTATATAAACCAAATTTAATTGGTATTTAGCTTTACAGTATAAAAGAAAGGGTTCATAAAAAAAAGGGTTGTTATATGCTTAAGGAAAATGTTTCTTAAATGAGCGAATATCGAATATGCAGAGCTGATTAGTCGCAAAAGAGTTTGAGAAAAGACTCTGCGCATGCTTTGGCAATTTGATATCTCAAGCTGGCTATCTATGCTGACTTCAATTCTCTTAAATATTCCAGGCAAACCCTTTAAGGGCACGCGCTTAAAATGAGCTTAAGATAAGTTAAGGTATCATTAGATGAGAAGGCTTTAAAACACTGAAAATCTGAAGACGAACATTTGTAGCTTGAGTTGATTTTATTTATAAAATAACAATAACAGAAGAATAAAAAGTCCATTTCAAATAAATAATCATGGTCTGTGATTAAATGTATAAAAAAGCATCGAGCTTGATATATGAGCACATCATCAACTATATCCAAAATATGTCATTTTTCTTATTAAATGTTTATATACATATATAGGAATTTGTTTGATTTCATTAATTTATTTTATTTATTCATTATATTATATTTATTTTATTAATATTATATATTTTATTTAAATTTGTTTATTTTATTTATATTATTTCTTTTATTTATTTTTGTTTATTTATTATTTCATTTATTTATTTATTTTTATTTATTTTTTTTTTATTTTTTATTTATTTATTTTTTTTTTTTTTTTTTTTTTTTTTTTTTTTTTTTTTTTTTTTTTTTTTTTTTT